GCAAGATAAAAAACCTGTTCCTTGCTTGATGATCCCTCGAGAAGAAGCTCAGTTGAAGTACCATAGCTGAAGACCTAATCTTTGACCTTGGGTAGGGAAATAAATCTTAATCCTGTCTCTAATGAAGAATAGCCCTTGCACCTTAAAAATAAAGAAATTCATGATAACAATGCTTCAAAACCCTCATTCACATAGTCCACTGCTCAAGAGAAGAACCAGATGAGTATGTCTTTATTTTATGAAGAAACCTCAAAATCAAAAGAAAACCTAATTTGCACAACCACTACTTCTTGAACCAAAGTGCTTTGTTGTTGGCTGGAAATTTCGACTAAGGAGAAATTGAGTTGAGTTAATGGTCTGAATATACTTAGAGAATTGTTTAGATATTTTATTTGTTAAAAGCCATGAATATTCGAATTCAAAATTCATTAAGTGATTGATGGATAGTTTATAATTCGAATTGTGAAATAAAGTTATTATTCGAAACATGGTTTAAGATTTTATACTTCGACCGTTATCAGATTTTATTGGTTTTGGCGCTCAAGACAAATAACAAAGAGTTTGAATTCGAATATTCATTCTTATCCAGAAGGACACATGGAATCTCTTGGATTGTCGAAGACATGCCAGTAGAAACGTGGCATTAGTTTGTTAGGAGACCGTTAGGGTCGAAGTTCTATAAATTGTAGCTTTTGTGTTTCAATTTAGTGTGTTCACATCTTTGTACAACATACTCAAAATACTCAAAGTACCAGTGTTCGAGAAAAGAGTTAACGAGGATGTACGTATGATGCACCATATTTTATATTCAATGTCATTTACATTCAATGAATTTTCTTCACGTTATTTACGTTCTTTACAATTCCAAGTCTAGACTAGTTTATATTTCATTACTTTTATAAAGAAGTTTCACTTCGACATGCGAAGTGATTCCTTTTGTTTAAAGAGATTGTCATCAAAACATGCTTTCTAAATAATTGAACACAATAGTCCTGAGATCAATCTGATCGATCTCGTGAGTAACTGAATCTGTTAAAGGATTTAGAGGATCGACTGTTGTTTACCAAATTCTAGGGTAAACATTTATTCAACAAAATGCATGATATGCAAATGAGCTAGTGGAATGTATGCAAATGAAATACAAAGCCTAAGCCAGAGAGAAGAAAAAAATCAAGAGAAATTTTTTTGGGTGAAACAATTAGGGTTTCCATTTTTATGAAGCACATAATCTATTAGACCTAATGCATAATCAATTACAAGCACTAAAAATCCCATGAATATATAATTTTCCTTTTTAAGCAATATTTTCCATCTATAAATAGAGGACTCTATTCACTTTCAAAATTCACCATCAAACATATTTTGATATAACTTCTCACTCTCTACTCGGTTTCTTCTCATTTCGTTCATTTCACTAAAATTGCCTTAGTACGTAAAAGTGAAAATTATCAATGAGTGAGAAGTTGTTGTTTGATTCGTGAGATTATCTATGAAAATCTCTGTTTGGTTCGTGACATTCCACTGATATAAAAATTCTCATTTGATTCGTGAGATTATTCGCGAAAATCTCCTAAAATTTATCTTATAAAATAACTTATCCTAAAATTAAAAAAAATTAGTTTTAATTTTGAAATAAAAACATAATTAATAAGTCATTACATTCAATTTTTTTTAAATATTAGATAAATATTGTATACCACTTTACAAGAGACACTACTTGTCCACCTAAAATTTTAAAGTAATAGGTAAATGAATTCTTCCACTTATAAATATTCAAGTCTTCATATTTTAATTCAATGTAAAAATATTTTTCTGCTTTCTCACACTTACATTATTATTCTAACTATTCATACTTATGTTAAGTTCTATGGCAATATTTTTAATTTGACATGAATCATAAAAACCCATTCTCCATCATTTTCATGTATTAAGTATTCTTCTTGAAGTCATATATGTCATGTGAGAATTACTATTATATATGTTATAAATATAAAGCGAATGTAAATTATAATTTTTAATTCATTTTATTCTTTATTCACATGTAAAATATACTTTTTTATAAACTCGTTAATTTAATAGGTCTCATGAGAATTCACTATCATTCTTCATGTATTAAGAGCTTTTTATAGAATTTAAGAACGTGATTTTAACTTTATATTTCTTTGATTTTTAAGAGAACTTACTTAAAAAAACAGTAGAAACTATTTGAAATCCAATATATATTATAAATTAAAATAATAATTTAGACATTCAGTAATTTAAATATTCATTATTAGAGCTATAACTTGAAAAAACATATTTTCTTATTATAAAATATGTCTTTTAAAAATAATTTTTATGAGTAACTCTTTAAAATAATTTTTCATTTGAAGCATTTTTTAAAATTTATCATCCAAAAATAATCTTTAAAAAATGATAAAATACATAAAGTTGTTTTTTCCTTACACCCATTTTCCATTTGAAGTTTTATTCAAAATATTATTTTTTTAGTTTTTTATAAATAATATGTAATAGTTTAAAAATCATTTAAAATATAAAAAAAAATTAGATATGATTTTGGAGTCATATATGTTATATGAAGATGACTATATTATAGTGTGCAAACATATGTGTCTTGTCAATTTTATTTAATTGTGTTAAGACATTTGAATTATGAATTTTTTGTTATTTTAATTGAATTATTTGTATGCAGTTTGTACTTTAGATATTCTTTTTCATTTTTTTAATCATATTTTGCATTGAAAGTGAAAAATAAAATGTATTTTGATTTTTTTATGTCAATATTGTATTGCTTTGTTTAAAAAAATAATTCAAAATAAAAAATAAAACTAACAAATAAAAAACATGAGAACAAAAAAGAGTACAGATATATCTATAAAATTGAAAACTCACTGAAAAAGAAAACTCTAAAATAAACCAAATTAAATTATAGGATAAATTTAAATTGGTGTGGGTTCTTGTTCAAAATTAGCGATAACAAATGGATTAATATTGGCTGATAAATTTGGTTACAAGGTGTAAGTTCAAAATTTAATTGTATGAAAACTCTATCATAATTCAATATTGAATATATCAACCATACATCTAGTTAATTATTATCAAAGAACTTATCTCTAAAGTTTATATTTTATTTATTCACATATTTAAAAAATCTAAGCAATGTGCTAATTTTATTGAAAATTTAAAAGCCACCTATGCCATATCTTATTTATTTTTGTGTGCCACCTATACCTAATCCTAACTAAACACAAATTGAGTTGCACATTTCCTCTGAAGTTAGAATTTTGATAAACCCATCTCGCAGCCATTACAAATCGTGTATTGAAGTGAAGAATGCTTCCTCAGCGAATGAAGAAAGCCGTTACTGATAACCCTAAAAAGCTCGCAAACTTGATCGATCTCGTTAACCTTCCTCCCACTCTCAGAGACTTCGTCGGTCAATCTCAGACTTCTCGATTAACCTGTTTCATGCGTGTTTGGTCCTACGTCAAAACCAACAATCTTCAGGTTCTGCTTTGTTTTTTCAACTCATGAAAATTGATTCACATCAAAGTAATTGTTGTTATTGTTCTGTTTTCAGGATTGGAGAATTTAAACTTTGATTCAGTGATTAGAATTGGTTGTTTCCTTGCTTGTGCAGGATCCAAATAACAAGAACATGGTAAACTGTGATGAGAAGTTAAAAGGTATTTTACTCGGGAAACCTCGGGTTGAGTTAGCAGAACTTCCAGCACTTATCAAGCTACATTTTCTGAAAGAGCCCAAGTGATGATGTGTGCGATACGAATCAAGATGCATACCCTTCCTCAAGATGAGTCTCTCAATTGTTTTTCGCTTTTCTTTACCCCATAGATTCAGCAACAACATTAGTATAGAAAGGAACCTAGCAGTTGAAACACCAAATTGTCAGTTTTCTTTGTTGTGTATGAATAATGTATTAGATTAATCTTATCACATGTGATCCAATTTAAAAATCTCCTTTTTTGCTGCATGCTTTTGCAACTATATAAGTTGTTTTAAAGAAATTTTTTTGCCGGGTTGTGATTTGTTATGCATAAATTTGTGTATATTATTATGATTTATACCGAGTCATTTTGTTTTTTCCTTAGGATTTGGAACTTCTGTAGCGGCTGCAGAACTATTGCATCCAAAGCCTCTGCAGTCGATACAAATGAATTAGATAATCCCCATACCCTCTCACATCTCCGTATGCATACCGTTACTCTTTATCGAGAATCATCTTGAACTTGCAAGTTATGATTTCTCCCAAACTCGTTACCATAAGTAGATTGTATGCATTGCAATCGGTTTAGTTAAAATTGATTGCTTAATGTTGCTCCCAAAAACATGAAATTTCATAGTCGAAGTACCTGGCACTCTTTGTTTACTAGGAATCAAACCTTCCTCATTTGTAAGAAATCTCTTTTGAACTCTTTAAATGATGTAGTTGAAGGTACTCTTGCTAACTTTTGAGTGGAACAAAGGGATACCTATAGACTTTCCTTGCTAACTTTTGAAGATTAACTTTCTGGCCAGCTTGTTCACATCACATAAAAAGTTTTCAATAAGAATCTGAACTTATTGGAGCTGCTGCTGAAACAAGATAAGAAACAGACTCGAATCGATGCAAATTATATTGAAAACGAAAATCCTATAAGAAACCGAAAAGCATTAACGTACCGTATAGTGTAATAGGTAAACGTGTGAATGTTGAATATAATGATTAAAGTTGAATAGAGTAATTAATGCAACATATGTAAACTGGATGCTATTGATTTTGCATATCCACTACATGGAAACTCTGTTAATTTTCATTTCAAATGCATATATGTGATGTTTAATTGAATAGTACAGCCTTAGGGGTTCTTACCATCAATACCACTTTTTACTTTTCACCACAAACGCCACACAACTTGTTTGTTCTCCGATTGATCCAGACTACTGTGATGATATAATTGCATCATGTGATGGCAAGTATTTGTGGCATACGTAAATATTGGATGCTACTATCTAATCGGCACTTGGAATTTTATAAAAGTGCACTTCCTCAACCTTTGACTTCGATTCAGCGTCTTTATATTAGTCGGCTAGTTGAGAAATATGGAGCTGATTTTCAGGTTTGATCTGTTGTCATGTTAATTTCAATTGAAGATATATTAACATTGTAAAGTGAAAATGTTGCTGTTAGGAGGCTGTTTAATGTTTTGTTGTTATTATGGCAGAGAATGATGATGGATATAAAGCTAAATCCTATGCAGCATTCTGTTGCAACTTTAGAGAAATTGTGTATGAGCTATTACATTTACAAGAACAAGAATCCTCTTATTGTTGGAAGATGAAGTACTTTGCATATGAACAAGTGTAGTGCTGTCGAAGATTACAAACTTCCGGTTGTGAGTTGTGATGGTTGATCCATGAATGGGCAAAATGTTGTTACAATGAAGATTTTGGTTGTTTTGACACTTTGGATGTTGCTCGGGTAATATTGTTATAAAATTTTGTTGATGCTTTTTAATTTTGTATGGATTTTAAGGAAAGTTCGATGATGCTTTGCAGAAGTATAAGTTGGTAGGTTGACTTTTCAGATTGCTTAACTGTCTCCTCCACACCTTTCATTGTTGTTTATCTCTATTTTGAGACTATAGGAAATTATCACTATAAGTCTATATCACCTTGTTTTAATTTTTACATTTTAGGCCAAGGAAAACATCAAAGAGATTCCATCTTTTCAAAGTAGAAAACTTCTTTTGGCATAAAGGTTGTGAGCCGAGTTGTGTGACATACAGCATATTGATTTGTTCACTTTGTCGTGATGGTAAAATTGTCGAGGCTGAGAATGTGTTGAAGGGTATGAAGAAGAGAGGGTTGGCTCCTAATGCTTATTGTTACAATCCATTGATTTCTGCTATTTGTAAAGAAGGAAAAGTAAATTTGGCTATAGAGTATTTAAATAACATGATATCAGATGGTGGTTTGCCTAGTATTGTTTCCTATAACTCGATCTTGGCAATTTTGAATTTGACTTTACTTATCTTCTAGTCGAACTTCAGTTAATGCTAATGTTAAGTATTGAATTTTGCAGAGGCAAGCAGATGTGAACTCACTGATGCTGATACTGGCATTGCTATGTCTTTTGCTTCCAATGCTATTTACATACAGTGCTGCATCACCGGAACTCACCGTAGAATCTTCACTCTACTTGTCAAGAGCTGCTAGCATTGTCATGTTGGCTGCATATTTTGTTTACTTGATCTTTCAACTATGGACACATAGGCAACTATTTGAAGCTGAAGATGTATGTTTTCTTAACTGAACCATATATGAAAATGTTGAATTGTTGATTGTTGCAATTATAGTTTATTAAAAAGAATTGAGCAGGAAGGCGGAGATGAGAACATTGAGGCAGAAGAGGCTGTAATTGGATTTTGGAGTGGATTTGCTTGGTTGGCTGGAATGACCGTGTTCACTGCGTTGTTGTCTGAATACGTGGTCGATACAATTGAGGTATTTCAATTTAATTGCTTAGATCTAATTTGGAATTCTTTTGAATAAACAGCTCAATTAAGCACTTATTTAATGAGCGTATCACATAATCAGTTATGCATAAGTCAGGAGCAGGTTTGGATTGACTTATTGTAAGGCTGTTTGGTAGAGCTTACAATATGTCCACATGCTGTTTTCAGCTTATTTTTCTAAGCTCTTCATGATAGCTTTTATAAAAACAGTTTATAGCTTATACGAATTTTTTTTGGCTATTTTATCTTTTGTTGTAGAAGTAACTTATACATAAACACTTATATGATAAGCATTTATGCTTTAAATGTGTAGTTAAACTGTTTACCAAACAAGGTCCTATAATCAAATATGAAATGTGTTTAAACTGTTTTTATATTAGTTATAAATCGTTTTGCTAAGCTTATAGAGAGTTTTTACTAAAATAAGCTTAAAACAACTTATAGGCGTGTCATAAACTATTGTTAACAGGATGCATCAGATTCATGGGGTTTATCAGTGAGCTTCCTCAGCATAATCTTGCTTCCAATAGTTGGCAATGCAGCTGAACATGCTGGAGCAATCATTTTTGCTTTCAAGAACAAGCTTGTAAGAATTTATATTATAGTGTTACTCAATTCCATACTTAATCCTTTCATTTAACATATGATTAAATTCATATTTTCCAAGCTATAAAGTTGATGAATTGAAAGGAAAAAACAATATTCAAGTGAAGCTGAACTAATTTCATGACTGCAGGACATTTCCTTAGGTGTTGCATTGGGCTCTGCTACTCAAATTGCCATGTTTGTGGTAAATAAATATACTCTTACCTTTATGGATAATTTGATTTTAAATTGCATTTACGATTACGCTGCATGTCTCTTTATATTATGAGAAGTTCAGCTGAGATACCGTTGCAGAATCCTCACAGTCCTTTATATTGCGGCTACAATTGTTGTTGCAGACTACAATTTAAAACATATTCGGATAGTTGTCTTTATTTGAATTATAATGACACATATATAATATTAAAATTCAGGTTCCCCTCTGTGTTACTGTTGCTTGGGGAATGGGAGTGAATATGGACCTAAACTTCAACCTCATTGAGACAGGTTCTCTTGCTGTGGCAATTATAGTCACAAGCTTCACTTTACAGGTATGTAAATTTCACATCCAATTAAACAAAACACCAAAACGGTAATAGTAATAGAACCATCCCAAATAAAACTCACCACTGGAATTTATATATATAATATGGAGAAAGAGCCCGATATATGCTTGGATTCCACTTGATGACATTGTAAATGCCAATCGTGAAAATAGATAGTAACCATAGGATGATTATGGGAGGAAACATGAAAGCAATCGCGTGGGAGCCACGGTGTTGCAAAATAAAGAGACCAACCAGTAGAACACAGGAAATAAGAGGCATCATACCTGCATAGATTAGAAGCGTAAGTTGTAATGGAAAAATCACCTATGCTGCATTTGACATATATTTGAAACATTGAAAACTGTGGGGTAACTTTAGTGGGAAATTTCAGAATAAATATCCTAGAATGATTTTGTTTATACTGAAGAATGGTGGATAGCAAGCTTTACTGAACTTCTTGTAAACAATTCTCCATGTCACATTTGCAATAGTTTGTGCCACCTCCTAGTTTGTGTCAACTTCTTTTTACGTATATATGGAAGTCCATGATTTGATCAAGAGGTTCTCCCCCAATATATTATTCTTGTTATATAAACAATAGCTCAATTTTTTCTTTTTCATGTGCAGAAAAAATTACAAGCTGCAATTAAGGATTCTGTGTCTGAAAATGAGGCATTTCAGAAAGTATTTGGAAAAGAAAAGCATGGATATGTTCGTAGTATGGGACTTGGAGTTACACCATCTCAAATTAATAGATCTACGAGATCGACATCTTCTTCTGCAGAAAGTGAACAAATAAAGGAAATGCAAGAAGAAATTAATGCACTTAAAGAAAAGAATTCAAAAATTGATGAATTAACACAGGCAATCATATTCTTAACGCAAAGGGACAAGGCGAGGACAAAGGAAAATGAACTCTTAATGCAAATGCAGAATTTTAGTGGAAGACAGGTATATTATTTTGACGCATTTAAAGTTAAATTTTATGAGTATTATTTTAAAGATTATTATTTTAATACCTTTTTTTAGGGATTGGAATCACCCGCTGATGGTAGACGTTCATCTGAGTCTAGCTACCGTATTGGAGATAATGGAACTTCAGGGGGGACAAATTAGACTTTGCTATGATCGAGATAATTAGATTGTGAACTTTCTCATGTATTTTTGGCATAATGATACTTATTATTATAAGATTAGGAATTGATATATTTTGGGTTTTTTGTACTACTTGACATGATTATGGAACTCGCATTTTACATGATTATGGAACACACATTTTTTTGGATATTATAATGCTTATTTGATGTTAAATATTTTTTATTGAAATTATTTTTACTATATTACAAAGTGATAGAAAATAAAACAAAAAATAATACTATAAATAAATATATTAAAGAAGAAATAATTTAAAGAAAAAAATAACACAAAAAAAAACTATATTTAAAATTTTTTACATAGATAATAATTTAAATAAAAAATATATATAATAGAAAAATAAAAAAAAATCAAGACATAAACAAAAGTCATGGCGACAGTACCGAACCGTCGTAATCAACAATTAAAAATAATCAACAAAAGTCATGACGGTATCGAACCGTCGCCAAAAACAATTTAATCAATTTCAAAAGATATTCACGACAGTATCGAACCGTCGCCATCAATAATTAAAAGAAACTCAAAAGATAGTCACGACGGTATCAAACAGTCACCAATACTTGATTATGTCAGCTCCAAACCCGTCGTAAACTTGAACGACAGTTTTTATAACCGTCGCGAAATAGGTTGGGGACACACACTTCTGCGACGGTAAAGCAACCGTCGTGGAAAGAAAATTGCGACGGTTTTAACCGTCGTAATCTACAAAAATACCTGTCGCAATCTGCCAATTTTCTTGTAGTACCATCTTCAAAATTATCTACCAACATTTTATCCAAGTCATTTAGACTATCCACTTTCTCATTAACCTTCAAACTTATCCATCTGAAATACTCCTTATTCCACACTTTGATTCTGGCTTTTAACAATTTCAGCTTCTCATACATGACATAATCCCCTATTTCCACCACATCAAAATTTGCCCATTCCTCTGAAATGAAAGGTTTAAAGGTTTTATGACTAAGCCAAGTATTATTAAATCTGAAAGGCAAAGGCTCCCAATCAATCTTTCTCAAGTTTATCCAGACGGGACAGTGGTCTGAGATATCTCTCGATCCCACTCTTTGATCGATTACATTCCAATCCTGTTGGTTTTGGATTTTAAAATATTTGCCACCATAGAAATTACCAGGTTGAGTCGCGGACTAGGTCGCTCTCTTTAAGACGTTTCGCGGCACTACTCAAAATTATGCAAAGCATTCGAACTACCGCACCGCCTCCAGGATAAAACAGCCCAGTTCTATACTGTATGATTACTACTTGCATGATAGATAATCGGTCTAGAAATACACCCTCTAATGGTACAAAACCATTCAAATATGGTATCAACACCACTCGTAGTATCTGGTACAAAGACCAGTCATAATAATTTCTCAAACAAAAAGAAACTCAAATAATTCTCCAAAGAGAAATTAATAATGGTCATTTGACCACTCATAATAATTTCTCTAACAAAGAGAAATTCAAATAATTCTCCAAAGAGAATCCAAAAGATTAAACTTGAAAATTTCTCAACTCAAATGAGGAGAAATTAACATAATTCTCTAAAGAGAATTCAAGAAAATACTCGAAAAATTCAACGAGTAGGAAGAAAGGGGAAGAAGATGGCGCTTCGACAATTCGAGAGACGCAGTTATGAGAGTGAGGAAGTAAAAACTAGTAAAATAGTTTTTGGTGTGTTTTGGAATGAAACATATGCACTCCTTATATAGTGAAGTAAGATAGTTAATATTTCTCACATGAGCAATGTGGGACTAAATGGTTTTTTCAACCAAAAAAATATTCTAACAATGTGGGACTTGAGAAATTTTTAAATTCAATATTATTGAAACATGGACATGTTCCAACAATCCCCCACTTGAATTTAAAAAATTGATTTTAGAAGTAACGTCAAACATTTCTAAGATTGTGCATAAACAAAGGTGTCTACGACTTGAACCTTTGCATAGCAAGTAGGATTCCAATTCAACAAGAGTGACACAAATGTCTTGAACTCTATCTCAGACATCAAACCCGCACACAACCTTTTCTTAAGGTGTATTCTAATAGCCCGTGCTTTAATGGCCCTGCACGTGTATCCCAGTTTAATGAAGGCTCTAGGAATTCTGCCTCGAAATTCTATAGGAACCGGCCTAAGTTCCACAATCACATAGGTGAGTCTATCAAGAGTACTTCTGTAGCCTAGGTACTCCCTCATACAAAGTATAAATCTCATTAAGAGTTTCTATTATCTCATCCTCTTATTACTTCAGGATTCATGCTTTACTTGCATGATCATCTCATATTACTCACAACTTGTTATTATCCATTGAACCTATTTCTTGGAATCTCCAGTCATTTAGGTCGGGTTACCATCATGAGCAACTCATTTTTCTATAGGCATTAGTCTCATCTTATATGATGTATTATAGACTTTCTCTCTAGCTAATCCTTTCGTCAAAGGATCTGCTAAATTTTCATCAGTGTGTACATGATCCACTCTTACAGCTCCTTTAGAGATACAATCTCTAACAATGATGTGCTTTCTTCTTATTTGACGTCTTTTACCATTATAATAACGGTTCTCAATTTTTGCAATAGCCGCGGTACTATCGCAATGGATCAACACAACTGACATATGTTTTTCTCATAAGGGAATCTCAGTTAGCAAGCATCTTAACCAACTTGCTTCTTCACTAGCAGTCGCTAATGCTATATTCTCAGGATAGTATGTTTCTTTGATTTCTAAGATACAACTCATCTAGCTATGTTGAATACATAGCCATTAGTTTCTTTGGAATCATCTGATAAGGTATTCCAATCTGCATCATTGTATCCTTCAGGTACAATAGGAAATCTATGATAATGTAAACCGAGATTCATGGTCCTTTTAAGGTACCGTATGACTCGCTCACTAGCTTGTCAATATTCATTACTCAGTCTACTAGTAAACTCGCACAACAATCCCACGACATATGCAATGTCAGGTTTAGTACAATCAATGGAATACATAAGACTTCCAATGATGCTCACATGTTCTGTTTGTCTAACACTTTCACCAGTGTTCTTAAACAGCTCCACGCTTGGATCATTTGGTGTGCTCACAGGTTTACTGTCAAAGTAATTATATTTCTTTAAGATCCTTTTCACATATTGTGATTGATCCAAAGAAATTCCTTGCTCGGATTTTGTGATCTTGATACCAAGAATCACACTCACTTCTCTGAGGTCTTTCATATCAAAGTTGTTGCACAACAATGATTTCATATCATTAATGACCTGAATGTTTGATTCAAATATGAGTAGATCGTCTACATATAGACATATGATAGTGCAAATACAATTCTCAAATTTGCAATAAACTTATTTGTCACTTTCATTCACTTTGTACACATTCTATATTATTAAGTTGTCAAACTTTACATGACATTACTTTGGAGCTTGTTTTAGCCCACACAAAGACTTATCTAACTTACAGACCTTGTTTTCTTGTCCATAGATCACAAACCCTTCCGGTTGTTCCATATAGATTTCTTCTTCTAAGTCACCATTTAAAAAAACTGTTTTAACATCCATTTGGTGTACTATTAAGTTATAAATAGCAGTAATTGAAATAAGTACCCTAATGGATGTAATTCTAGTGACAGGAGAAAAGGTGTCGAAAAATCTATATTTTCTCTTTGTCTAAAACCCTTGGCAACAAGGCGAGCCTTGTATTTATCAATAGTTCCATCGGGTTTTAGTTTCCTTTTCAAGATCTATTTACAACCGGTTGGTTTGCAACCAGGAGGCAAGTCTACTAAGTGTCAGGTCTTGTTAGATTCTAGAGATTCTATCTCATCATTGATAGCTTCTTGCCATAACTAAACATCCAGAGATGACAAGGCTTCTTGAAGATTCATTGGATCTTCTTCTACATTATAAGCCGCATAATCAGGCCTATAGTCTTTAGCAACTCTTACTCGTTTACCTCGTTGAAATTTTGTTTCTACATTGCTGTTGCTTTCTGTGCTTCTTATCACATGAATGTGACTCGATTGTGTGCCCCCACTATTTCTCAATTTGAAAGGAAATTTGTCTTCATAGAATTCAACATCATTTGATTCTATGATCACTTTTGCCTTTAGGTCATAAAACCTATATGCTTTACTGTTTGCTGCATACCAAATGAAAACACATTCATATGCTCTACTAATGAGTTTAACTCGTTTCAGATCCAGAATTCTGACATAAGTCAGACAACCCCAAGTTCTCAAATAAGACAAGTTTAATTGTCTTTTCTTTAATATCTCATAAGGAGAGATCTTACATTTTGACTTGGGAACTCTATTCAGGACATAGCAAACAGTCAATAAAATTTCCCCCACCAGTGAGGAGCAGCATCAGAATTCATCATAATTGCAACAACATGTTCAGTAAAAGTTCTATTCTTTCTTTCTATTTTACCATCCATTGCAAGATAGTATGGTGCAGTCGTTTCATGTACAATTCCATGTATAAAATTCATTAATAAACTAGAATCATACAGTTTATCTACACTAGAAATTCTTATTATATCATTTTCAAATTCTTTACAAAAAATTTAAACATATAAACTTCATTCTTCATAATGGCGTACAAATCTACCCCAATAGACTGACTAAACCATGTCTTATTTAAAAGAAAACCAGAAACAATATTCTTTCTAATCTTGGGAACATGCATAACGTTCCTTAAGATTAAAGTCTTTTTGAAGGTGAAATTTAGCTCTATGTCTATAATTCCAGCAACATTCGTGGTCTGGCCATCTTCCAACAACACTTTCTTATCTTTAGTATTCGTGTATGTTTAAACATAACACGATCATAACAGACACAACGAGAGACGCATGTGTCTATCCACCAACCAAGATATCTATCAAACATGTTGATTTCAATGACCATAGCAATAAATTGCCCATTAGTCAGGTTGACCCATGCATTAGGGACAACACCAAGAAGTTC